ATTTTTTTTTCACGTTTCTCTCTTCTCCAAGCCAATCCAGAATCCACCAACAGGTTGCATTGTAAAATCTTTTTTATCAAACACAATTGGTTCAACAGTTTTTTCCGTAGTCTTCAGAATAAATTTTAATAAAAGACGAGCTATCAGAATTTTAGTTTCCATTAAAGCAAATCGATTGCCAATACACTTCCTAGGTCCATGACCAAATGGTAAATAAGTATACGGTAAAATTTTATCTTTGTTCTCATCGCTGAATCTTTCGGGATCAAATTTATCTGGGTTCGGAAAATATTCTGGATCGTGATGTAAAGCATAAACAGGAAACATTAATACATTATTAGGTTCAACAATTACATTCTTGCAGCCTGGTTGCGATGGAGGCAGTTCGTATCTCTTGGTACAAAGTCTATCGATGAAGATGACTGGTGGATACTTTCTGAGAGTCTCGGAAATTATCATATCCATGTAAGACATCTTCGACAGCGCTTCGTAAGAAATCTCATCGCTTCCTTCGGTAAGATGCTGTTGCACCTCTTCGCGTAAACGATCTTGAATATCTTGATTAACCGCTAGTTCGTGAGCAGCGAAACACATCAGTGTTGAAGACGTGTCGAAACCAGCAAGGAAAAAAATAAAAGCTTGCGAAACGATGTCATCCAATGTCATTTTATGTGCACTGGTACCTTCCTTGTCTCGAGCCTGCATTAATAAATGAATCATATCCGGTCTGACGATATCTTGCTGTTCTCGCGCTCTAATGGTTTCTTCCACGATCTTCTTGAAAAACTTGGACGTATCCAATGAAAAGACGGTCAAACCAATTGATTTACAGAATAATGGACACATACGTAGAAGCATGAACTTGAATATTGCTAGGAATCCAGCAGAAAATTTAGTAGCTTCCACTCCTCTCGTATAAAATTCGTTGTTTTGATCCTTCATAGAATTCACGCTTATGCCAAAGGCTGCCGTAGCGATTACGTCATTGGTGTATCGTCTGAAGGCTCCCTTTGTTTCAATCGCACGACAGATTTCCGGATGGTCAACCAAATAATCAACGAAGTCGCGAGAGCATTTCGATATTAAATCAAACATAAACTTCATCTTGCTAGCGGTGAAAGAAGGGCTTAATGTATTCCTCATTTCTCTCCAACGATCTCCGCGCAAAGAAAAGATATTTTTGCCAAACAGTGGTTCTACGCTTTCGTCAACAAAACTGCGATGATCCGGAAAGTGTTCAAAATCTCTCACCATAATATCTCTAATCAGTTCAGGATCGCGCAATAGTACGCTAGGTGTAGCAAAATCCATTATTCCAACATATTTAGCGTTCGGAAAGTAATTGTACATATATTTACAATAATCGGGAAAATTGATGAGACGCAGAAATAATTTCCAACCCATTATACTAGCCGATAACGAATCTGGCAGGTAAGGCACACCCTTATTCTTCCAATAAAAATATGTATGATGTAGCACAGTGAAAACTTTCGAGATGCCAATGATAACCAAAATAGTCAATAATAGTATAAAGGGCGACGAAAACAACGATAAATCCATCGTGATGTTACGGTACAACAGATAAACGAGATGCTTCGTCGAACGCGGCGTAAAACGTTATAAATACACTCATGTTGCGCGAATCTTGTAGTGAATGAAACGAAGATGGAAGGGAGAAACGCCTCTTAGTATTATCACAATGATACAGGCTGCATCAGTAACTACACAAGCCTATATCATATCTATTTCTACCAACATAGATTAACTTCAATTTCAGTTTACTTACTTTTTATCTTTTCCTAATTCTAAAAATTTGAAAAAGATAAAGAGTAAGTTAAACTATTAAAATTCAAATAAAAGTAATTATGAGGCAAAATATGTATAAAACAGTATAAATATAAAAGGGCAACGAGTCAAGTAAATTAGCGAACAATTTAATTTAAATAATCATATAAACATATCAAAAACAAACATTTCGACTCCGATCGGGTTATTTTTAATGTTACAAAACATATGAAATATTATAAATTAAAATATATTATATACATTCTTCATTAAGTCAAAAAATATTCTTAAATTCAATGCAAGATTTAGTCAATGTTGGTATCGTAAGCATAATTAATCCTTGTCAATAATAAAAGAAAAAGAAGTAACATGTCCATAAATAAAAATTCCAAGTCACAATATAGTAAAAAAACATTATAATTAAAAATTAAATATGATAATTTGCAGCGAACCAAAATGAACATAGCACTGATCTTTGTAATGACAAGGTAATGATATTAAAATTAATCTACGTTGGTAAAAATGGACATTAATCGATTAAAATGTGTATGCGATACTTTTGAATATGTGACGCAAAAGTCAACCATTAATAATTTAATCTTAAAAAATTTATTTTACGTTTAAATAAAAATTGACAACGTTTTCGATAGAAAAATAATTCTTAATGATTAATCGCCACTGGAGTCATCATGTGCTTCTTGTAAATATTGCATGTATTACATAATAGACTTACATCTGACTAGACAATTAACAAATAGAAATTAACAACTATAGTAAACTCTTATTTAGATCGTGAAATTTCAAACACCGATGAGAATAAGCCATTTACGGTCAAGCTGGATATTGAATGCATCTATTATAATTTTCGTGTGAATTTATATACTACGATGTAGATCCTTAAATGAGCGCCAAAATTGTTTCAGACTTACAACGCAAACTAATGAATTACCGCAGCACTATCACGAGTTAAATTAACAATTTTTTTAATGCTCATTGCATCTTGGATTTTGATAATACGATGAATGCCCTATTAAAGTTAATGAATGACATTAAAAATCTGTAGATAATTTAAATATTTTTCGCAAAGTATTTAAATTATTTACAGATTTTTAATATGTCATTCATAAAATTATAATAGAAGCATTCAATATCCAGCTTGATCGTAAATGGCTTATTCTCATCGGCGTTAGAAATAACTAGGGCAGAGTTTAAAAATGAAAGTGTGTGAAATAAAAGTTTCATTCTTTTACAGAAGCTACGCATTTCGCAGGTTATCTTTGGATGCTTTCCAATAAGCGACATAGATGATACGGTGTGACACAGAGTATCAGTACGTCTTTGTTGTTCGCCAATGTTAAACAAGGATGAGATGATCACTGTGTTGTACTGTGTCGCTTGTTGGAAGGCACACTTTGTGTCCAATAGAATAACCTACTTCAGCTCTTAGTATCAAGCTGCCCCTTGTCTTGATAAAGTAAATCACGAAACGTTGGCATTCTAATAATGGATTTGGACACGCAGATATTCCGCGAAACGCGTAATTTCAGTATAAAAAGTTCCTGTAAAAACTCCAAAATTTCATCCTATACATCATCAGTCAATTGTATCAAAGAAAAGAAATATATGAAAGCTATAAAATTTTTTCTATGATTTTTGTAAAAGACAAAGCCAAGTGTAATTTCCTTACGAACTCTCGATATTTAAAACCATGAAATATGTGTCTAAAGGAACAGGCAGTAGAGAGTTAGACGTGGTTCTTTGTACGCAATTAATGATTTATTAAAAAATTAAAAAATAGTGGACGTTTTTTCTTTTTTTCCCGACTCTACTTTGGAGTCATCTTCAGCATAACAATAATTCTTTTTACTCCTCTGAATGTTTGAAACCAAGTCACCCTCAAATTTCCCGATCTGATGTGCGATCTCAAACATTAAAGAAAAGTCGTATCACAATAAATTAAAATTCACAAAATCATAACTTCAAAAATCTGTTGCATTATACTGATAAAATATTGCAAGTTAAAAAAGTTAAATTTAGTTATGTTTTAGCCTTGTTAGAGATAACTTGCAATATTTTATCAGTATAATGCAACAGATTTTTGAAGTTATGATTTTGTGAATTTTAATTTATTGTGATACGACTTTTCTTTAATGTTTGAGATCGCACATCAGATCGGGAAATTTGAGGGTGACTTGGTTTCAAACATTCAGAGGAGTAAAAAGAATTATTGTTATGCTGAAGATGACTCCAAAGTAGAGTCGAAAAAAAAAAAAACGTTCACTATTTTTTAATTTTTTAATAAATCATTAATTGCGTACAAAGAACCACGTCTAACTCTCTACTGCCTGTTCCTTTGGACACATATTTCATGGTTTTGTAAAAGAGATTTGATTGTAGTTTGCTTAAACAACATATGCATACAAGCAAAATACTTATTCAAACATCAATTAAGCTTTATAATATCTTATTAAATTAACGTATTTATAATAAAATAAGAAACGCCGTTTAATTAGTTGAAAAAGATAAACTCACAAAATACACTAACTAAACGAATTACCGATGGACCTTTAATCTTTATTCGTATATTACTCATGAACGTGGGCGTATCCAAGTTTCTTTTCAGGAGGGTTTCAATTTCGTTATCATATACACAGCAATGTTCACAATAATTAATTACTCTTTTAGTTTTTGGAGCTCTTTTAGAACTTAAAATGTCAATAAGTATATTAAAAACAAAATGTGTAGTTCTTTAATATTGCTACTGTTATTATTATTACATACAAAATATTCATAATAATTTTTTTTTGTCCTTTCTTTGTTAGATTATTATTATAATAATTTTTCCTACAAAAAAATTTTTTTTAATTCAGAATAAATGTAGAAAAAGACTTGCTGTAAGAAAACATTGATAATATTAAAAATGTAGCATTAAGCTTAAGTTAAATACAAATAAAGGTAGAAAATAATAAAAATTAAATTCCCTAAATCCTCTCTAGATATGCCCATGCTCATAAAGTATAATAAACGAATCATTAATAGAACTTTGATCTTTATCTAAATATTATTTATGAAGTACAACTTCCAATTCATTACAATTTTTTTTGTTTGCTTGTGTACTATTGCGTTCTTATACAACAAAAATAACTATAAAAAGATTTCACTTTATTAAACATTGTTTATAAACACACAAAAATGTATAAAATTGTATCACTCACCGATAAAGACGAAGATCTGATGGTGCGAGTAGCGCAGTAACATCGAGATCGATACGGTCTGAAACAATAAAGAGCAAAAAATTTGTCAAATATTTCCGAAAAAATAATTACGCAATTAGTACAGACACAATCGACATTGATTAAAAATGTCGATTAACATTATGAATTACGGGTATTCTCAAATTTTGCCCGAGTAACTTTGACAAAGTTACGGCATCACGTAAATTGCAAACTGGTCGCTCGTAGTCGGTTAGCGGGTTGAGCGAATGTTGAAATTGAATTGCGATCGGTTCAGATTGAACTAGCACCTGACACCCTCGAAGATAATCCGTTATTTGCAACAGGCAGCCTTAGTAACGGGGTCGTTCGATTCCACCTTGTACGAATGCGCAGGTGTTATTAAAAAAAAAAAAGGAACAAGGAAAGAATCAAAGAAAAAGGGAGCTAACAGGAAAACTGTTTCTGATTACTATCTCCAAGAGAATCATACTAACGTTGCTTGACAATCATTATCCTATTAATTCAGATAAAATATTTTGTTGTTAATAAAATTGAAAAATTTTTGTTGTTAATATACCTGTATCTATAGCAAAAAGTGATGTATTAGTAAAATGTACTATATGTATTATAAATGCAAATGTACTATATGTAAATGCACATAAAGGGAATTTGTTTTTCGCAAATCAAATTTTTAAGATAAAAATATATTTTGAGAATACGTATAATTAAATCTTTCCGTCACACATACTCGAGTTGATGTACATAAATTAGATATTCTTCGTATATCTTTTTACAAATTTATCTCTTTTCTCATTCGATCACTTTCGATTTTTCTAAATTTATTAAATCCTCTTTCGTTCTTTTTATATCGTAACTAATAGACATCTCTTATGGCAAATTTGACTATTCGATGGTACCTGTACCATCACTTCACAGTACGGCCAATCGAATTCGATATAAGAGATGTGAATCCCGGAGGGTGAAGCGCGAATGCGAGCGACAAACGCGCAAACACAAAGGCAAACAAGGAGAAAGATAAAGGAAGAGAGAATAGTATTTCATACTGTATCACATTGTAACGGAGCGCTGGACATCGCGTGCACATGACAGAGGAGATACACGATGATACATGCACGACGACAGTCGTGTGCACGTGACTCGACAGCGCGCGGCGGGCCATCGGGGGTGGCTCAGGGTAAACCCTCCAGGCAGCCGGGACTCAAATTCACGTGTCGCGGCACGAGCGCTCAACCCTTTAACCGATATCGACACTGCGTTCGCTCCACATTGCAAAGCGAACCACATTGTAAAGAATAAAATATCTCACCGCTGAGCGGCAATTCGAGTCACGAGTTGTACTGCGGAGACGAACACATGAATCCTATCATCCTCCGTCTGATGTCAGTGAGAAACTCTCGGAATAACTTTTCGCAAGACATTCAATATATTCTCACAGTTAATATACATGATAAAAAAAACAATAAAATATTCAACAATATTTTATAAATACCACTCTAGAATCTATGTTTTGTAGGCAGAGAAAAAAGAAAATAAAAAAAACAATATCAATTCTTATTGGACCGTTAAATTTCAAACCGAATGAGACAATGCCACAACGATCTAGGCTGAATCACGGATACTTCTAAATAATTGTGTGTGAATTTATATATACTACGAATGTAATTCTTCGATTGCGCGCCGAAATTTTTTCAGACTTGAAACGCAACATTAATAAACTACCGCAGTAATATCACGAGTTAAATTGACTAACAATTTAACAATTATTGATACTGTTTACGAATCTTATATCAATCTTACTAATATTGAATAACCTATTGAAAATTGTAAATAATTAATTTTTCACTGTGAAAAATATTACCTCAGTCAGGAGGTAAAATAAAAAATATACAAAGACTCGCGATTGATAAAAATCGTAATGATTTTAATTATAATAGTCACTACATGCAAAATATACATTACTATTAAAAGTATCGTGTCATCATTAAGAGTTTCACCGGTGATCTCGACTATAGTACGCCGCAATCTATTCCACCACAATTTGATACAAAATTACCGACATGGGGCTACTACGACGAATACGATGCCTCTAATAACCTTGATTTATACTCGACGGTTCAGCTCCAAAGGGATTGCGCGTGGATGAGGACACTGGGGATAGGAAAGCTATGCGCAGACATGTTACTTTAGTGGATGGTTAGCTTGGATTGATTGCCATATCATTTTACACGTGTTAGACTATCGTATAGGTGAGTGTGAAATCGTTCCTCTGATAACGACGAATTTATTATCGCCAAAAAAAGATACAGGCAAACTCGCAATCTTGCACTTTAATGGCACAATAGTTATATTGTTTCATATTTTATGTTGTATACCTTGATGTGTGTGTGTGTGCGCGCGCGTGCGTGCGCGTAAAATGTAGCCCATTTAATGATAAATTGAGCCAGAAAAAAAATATGACAAAAATTAAGATTTCAAATTCTAAAAATAACTATTTGCTGTAGATTGGATACTTTTTTGCATTTTGTTCAAATGTAATCTCATGTAAATATGTATAAATATATATCAAATTCAATAAACATACATACAATCAATCAATAAATTAACCATAAAATTCATAAAATACTTACAAATACGAGCATAACGAAAAATGCAGCTAAGTATGATGTCCGTGCCATCCACATGCTGACAAATCGATAATGTTCTCCAGTCACCACGTTCCTATCAAAGCAATCAAGGTCTAAAGAAACTGTTTTTCATCAATTTCCGCGAACTTGTAATACATTTTAATACATCTTTATCATTAAATAACCATCGTATTCAATGTAAAAGTCATATTTACCGTAAAAATCCTTTGTTATCTTCATGTTCTGCTAATGTCTTGATACTTGCCATCAACAAATCGTCATATCCCAAAAATTCATCCAATATCAACCGCGAAAATGAATCACCAAAACATTTGTCGTTTAATGGATCTAAAGTGACAATTTTGACTGGAATGTTTAGTCTTTGTCGAGCCGCTGGTGATAACCGCAAGAAACCATATTCCAATGAATATTCTACAATATATCCATCTTCTAAAAATATAACAAAAAATTGTAATATTTAAATCTATATAAAAGTATATATAAAAGAGTCCATTTTTTTACTAACGCAATTTTTTGTTATATTTTATATATTTTATATTATATATATATATATATATATATATATATATATATATATACATATCTTATTCATATTAGAACATTTTTATATTAAAATAATGCTATTTAAAAAATAAATACATATCTACATGGCACTTAAGACTTAACAGTAAGGAAATCAACATGTTGGATTCGCTACTGTTTACGTTATGGTCTCACGGTCTCTATTATGATTGATTCACTTAATGCTTAAGTCTTACAAATTTTTCTATGTATCAAAGCCTTTAGACTTAAATAAATATTAATTACATCTGTGTTCTAGTAGTTACAATTATAAATAATATATTTAATCTATTATTTATTAGTTATTTACCTATTCTAGCCGTTTTATCAACATCTGATGAACGATCCTTTAACTGTATAACATCTTCATTTAAATAATCAGGCGCTTCTGTAGAATTACCTTCCACATTTGCAAAAGACGACTTTTCTCCAGATGACTAAAATAAGTATAAATATTGTTTCATATATTAGTAATTATAGATATATATATATATATAAAATATATTCACACACATATTGCCTTTTCTACATGCAACACGTTTTTCATGCATTACACTTTAACTTTATAAAAAATATTAATCAAACGATAAAATAGTTATATATATAAATTATTTCTTAATTACAAAAAGTGTAATATTGAAAAATTGTTAATGGTTGTAAATTTTAAAATCTTATATTAAAGTATTAAATGTTTTTATTAATATCTTCAAATCAGGAGACATACTATCTTTTTAGCTATATTTAAACCATTCCAAAGTTTTGTTGACAACGATGGGCTCATTGTTGTATTTGCCGTGCTTAGGTCAGGATTCTGCGTCTCTCCAGAAATTGTAGCACTTGTTATCACATCCTGCTCATGTAGTGTCAAATTCTCTTGATTCTCTTCGGCAGAGATATTTATAGTATCTCGTTCTTCATCAACAGCCGATGGTTCAATATTTATAAAGCTAATACAACAAATAAATAAAAATGTGTTTGCTTTTGATGCTTAAAATTAACAAAGCATTAAATGTAATTTGATATTTTGTAAATATTTATATTTCAACTCACCCATCTCCAGTTAATATTCCTAAAGCATTAGTTAAATCATCAACTTTTTCTTGTCTCAATTTTTCTTCTTTGGCATAACTTTTTTCTATACTATAATCTTCACCACCATTTCTAAGAATTTCCACTCTCAATATACCATCTCGTGGCCATTCATCTCTTATATGTTCTAAACAATTAGTTGGTGCGCGTGAAAATACTATATGGATATAAGCCAATACGAAAAATGCCAATATAGCCTGTGAACAAGAAATTAATGATATCTTAATATATATTTGGTTTATTTTTAATATTATTTTTTTTGTTTACTTTGATATACAAGTTATTCATATAAATTATTTAGTTGTATTAGTAACTTGTTATTTGTAAATAACTTATATGTAAATAGCTAACGTATTGTACATACCTTTAAAAGAATTATAAATTCTATAAATCTTCTGACAGGCCTTGGAAATGTTCGTGCATAGATTAGCGCCACCTTGATAAATAATGCGTGAAATAATCTATCCCGTACATTAATTAGTGGGTTTTGATTATTGTTATTTCTAGCTATATTCATGTTATTATTATTTAAAACTGGTCCTATAACACCAGCAAGACTGTTAAGATTATGTGCTACTGCACCGTTTTGATTATTAGGCACTGCGACAGCAGCACCCTCTCCTTGGGACATTTTTAAATATTACATAAGTAACATCCACAAATACGAGAAGAATTCGTATAATTATTTACATAGAAATCACCATATTTAAACATATGTAATTTGTCACTTCCAATTAATGTACATAAGCATTGTAGCAAGCCTGAAACATAAATAACACATTTTTAATTAACAATTAGCAAAATCAATAAATTTATTAAATATATTAAAATGTAAAATTTGCAAGATACAAATCGTGCGAAGATACAAATTCATTCTCAGTACATACAACTTGTAAAATATATTACATTTACCGAGTGCATAACCTATCTAGATTTAGTATCAACATTTAAGTATTTAAATTATTTAAATAAGATAAAAGAACTTGAGAGATGGCGCTTTTTTTTAGAAATATACCTATAACAAAATATTTATACAGGAATACTAATGAAACATAACGAGTCGCGTACAAAAACGCATATGCAAAACGGTGATTGCTGTTTGTTACGTAATTCCCTAGCTAAAAAGAAAAAAACCTGCCAATCATCCAAACTGGTTAACAATCGTACTAATTCCTTTCATAATCTACAGTAGATATATTCCATAAAAAAAGGTAATACGTCGGCATTGACGTCAAACGTCGCCAAATTTGCAACAGTTTTCAAGAACAAATCTGGCACATCATACCTCGTAACGAGACCGCGAAAGATACACCAAAGTTGTAATTTCGACAACACCGTCGCGTCTTCCGCTATATAAATCAAGTCGTCGTGCAAAAGTTCCGTGTTTTCCTAGTACATATGATGATATTCGCGAAATTGTCACTTCATCGTCGCGGATGTTTTGACGTGCAGTACAGTGCAATATACACTCGCGTGCACCGCAGACTGCAAACGTATCAATCACAATCCACAGCAAACTTGTCCCCACGCGCACGGCGCAGGTCCACCAATCACGATATCGAGATTTTATGAACGTTTTACAAAGGCTGCGTTGAACATCACCCGAGTGCTCACTGCTCCCCTAGTTGCTGCGTTCGGAAATATCACTCGAGTACCTCCGTGTATCGTCTTATCCTTATTTAACATTAAATGAATAATAAGGATAAGACGATACACGGGGGTACTCGAGTGATATTTCCGAACGCAGCATTGGTCATATCGTAACATCGTAGGCGGCGTGAGACTTTAAATTGATAGGCCCCTTCTACATAAGTCATTACCAAAGTTTTAAGTCATAAGAAATTGATCAATCACAATCGAATGTGAGAGGTCAATTTCTTATTATTTCAATTTCTTATGATTTAATACTTAAAACTTAAGTAATAGCTTATTGTAGAAGGCCCATGACACATCGGATTGGCTGTTGCAACAAATTTGTGACCTGCGACGCCTAGATACGACCAAAGCCCATTCTACATTGGTCGTATCGTAGACGTCGCAGGTCACAAATTTGTTGCAACAGCCAATCCGATGTGTCAATTAAAGTCTCACGATGCTACGATACGACCAATGTAGAATGGGCTTTAAGCAGTAGCAAATCCACAACGTTGATTTCCTTACTGCTTACGTTTTACTGCCTTAAGTTTTTTGTGTGCCACCGGATTCGCTCAACTCCGTTAAGAAAAGAGGATTGAAATCAATCGAAACTAATCCGTTTACACCCAAGAAATTTCACTTCACTTCGAAGTGAATCGGGATTGGACGGCTGGGTTGTAAACTAGTAGCGTTTTCCAGTGGGAAAACTGGTGCAGCACTAATGTAGGATTCACACTGCGTCCGACATCCGACGTACGACGTCCGATATCCAATAGGAGAGCTTGATTTCTTGATATATAGCTAACAATATTTTGTAACAAGCTCTGCTATTGGATATCGTACCGTCGTCCGTCGGATGTCGTATGCAGTGTGAATCCTACATAACGCCATACTACCGTCGTACGACGACTCTGCAACCAATCAGGAAACAAAATTTTGCTTCGTATCGATGATACGATTTTTCTGATTGGTTGCAGAGTCGTCGAAAATCAGATGCAGTATATCCAGCATTACTGCTTTAAGTTTTTTTTTGTGTGCCAGGCCCTTAGTTTTAGCTTTAAGCCCTAAACACAATGCGAGGGAATAGCGATAGCGATAAGTTTCAACTTATCAGAAATCGAATACACTGGAATACGCATTTTTGATAGGTTGAAGGCCTACCCTTAGGCTGGAGTCACATTGAACGGTAATTACAGTGGAACGGAATAGTGAAACCAATCAGAACTCTACAATCATTCCGCTGCTTTACTTTCTGCGATTGTGATTGGTCTCGCTGTTCCGTTCCGCTGTAATTACCGCTCAATGTGACTCCAGCCTTAGGGCGGGTTCACACCTTGACGGAAAAACGGAAAGCGGAAAAGCAGTAGCCAATCAGGTAGTCGACTTTCTGTTAGTTTTGTACTATTTACTACCAACGCGAGTTCTGATCGGTTAACTGCTCTTCCGCTTTCCGCTTTTCCGTCAAGGTTTGCAAACCCATGCAGCGGAATAGCGTAACGCGGAACGAGAGCAGAACCAATAACGAGCATTCCGTGTTTCTAGAGAATCTCGTGATTGGTTCTACTCTCGTTCCGCGTTACGCTATTCCGCTGCATGGGTTTGCACCCTTATTGTTTGCCAAATGTTAAACAAGGATGACATGACACCCAGGGAGCACTCGCGTGGGAATCTGAACACGCCGCTAGCCGCTTGAACTCGCCCATTGTGTTTAGTTGCATCGTATTAACCAATCAAAATTCGAGTGTTGGTAAACAGGTGTTGCAACTTCTGATGCTGTCAAACTCCATTTAAATTTTAACGTATACACAACACACCGTACCATATTACTGTATGTATACATACATACATATGTGTACAGCACGGCGTAGCGGGCATAGTGCTGCATACCGTGTTAAATCGGCATGTACAGTATCGGCACGGTAGCGAGTAAACAAGCTGCCTTTATTTAAATGTTCGAAAAAAAGTTCAAATACTATATTATATTTTGAATATTATAAAATATAGAATTTATCAATTTTTTGTCAATTTATTTTCTATAATCAAATAATTTATACGACTATGTATTCACCATTATCGCCTCAAGCTAGCCTTAGTTCAGAATTAAGGCAAATTATAAATGAAAGAAATATGTTGAGCATGCGGAGCCGTATGAAGGGTATAATTTTTTAATACATTTTTTTAATACATATATTCATTAACTGTTATCACTTAAGCCAAAGTTTTACATCATAATTTTTTCCAGTTCTACAAGCTTTAAATGAAGATAATGAAAAATGTACAGAGGAAAAGGAAAAAATTCTGAGATCACAAGCCATTCGAGAAATACTCACTACAGAAGTTACGTATTTACAACAATTGGAAATCTTAGCAGAAGTATATATATTTTCTATTAGTACACTTGATATAAATTTTATATATATATATATATATATGTATGTATGTGTACAATATATATATATATATATATAACATATGTTTCTTCAGTTTTTTATACAGCCTATTCTCGAGAGAAAATTGTTGGATCATCCATTACTTGTCACTTTAGCTAAAAACATAAAGACTTTATATAATGTGAGTGGTGAACTAGTGGCAGGATTAAAACATAATCCTGATAACATAGCTGGAGTGTTTTACAAACTTGCACCATTTTTTAAGTTATATTCCATTTATGCTTATGATTATACACAAGTACTAAATTTACTACAGGTAATTATAAAGTACTATGAAAAAATTATTAAAATTTAATTGCATTTGTATGATTCTTAAAAAATCAGCGTAATTTGTATTTTATAGATATTTTGTATGGTATATGAATATTTGTTCAAAAATACATGTGTGTGCATATTTTTATTAATTATCAAAAACTACTTTTGTTAAAATATATACAAAAAGATGTGAATGTTAAAATTTATCTGCAAAATTATCTTTCTAGATAAGTGAAGAGAATGATTCTGTCTTCAAAAAATTTATTTGTGATCAAGAAACAAGACCAGAAGTAGGCAGAAAATTGTCTTCATTGTTAATTACACCAGTACAAAGAGTACCGAGGTATCAGTTACTTGTTAAACAAGTATTACAACATACTCCTTACAGACACAGAGAATATAGATATTTACAGGGTAATTGATATGGTTAAGACTCACCAAAAAACTCATATATGTATTCAAATGTATTTTTTTAACATAATTTTAACTTGATTCTAATTGTAGCATGTCTGGTTGAAATTGAAAAATCTGCGAAACATATAAATACTTTAATCGCACAAAATGAAGAAACACAAAAATTATTAAATCTTCAAAAGTGCATTGTTACTTCCATTAACCTTGTCAAGCCTGGTAGAATGTTAATCAAACAAGGATCATTGATGCGTGTTTCAAGACGAGGCAATTCAGCTTATAGGCGATATTTTGTTCTTTTAAATGACACTCTTTTGTATTGTAAAGGTGAACCAGAGACATCACTGAACGTATCTTGCGTTCTACCATTAAACAAGTGCAGTTTAACTTGCGTTCTGAGCAAAAAATTGTTTCGTATAACATGCTTGCATGAAACATTCTTACTGTACTCGGAAAAAGCGGATAGTGCCGAATGGATACAATCGATACAAAGTGCTATTAAAAAAGTATTTGTTACATTATTAAAAATGTAGATATCTTGGTACTCTTTCAGCTTTTCCTTATATAATATATTTTATACTATTTTGCTTTCAGTACACTGAATGTAGACAAACTTTAAGAAAAGAAAGTAGCTCGAGAAAGCCACTTAGGCACAAAAATATTAATGAATTTGATGAGTTTGAGTCAGATGGTATATCAAAAAAATCTATTAAAAGAAAAAGATGTATAAAAGATGAACAGGTAGGTATAAATATATTATTACATACATTTTTTATATGTAGGTTGCTAGTATTAATTTTTGAGATGTTAATATGTACAAAGTGCCAATTGATTTAAAGATATAATAGATTGCATTACAGGTAGATTGTCTTCAGAGATACAATAATAAATTAACACATTGATTTTTCTATATTATACGTTAGATATCATTGGACACCTCCAGCATAATATACTTTAAAAAGGATAATGAAATGGATGAGGATATTCAAAACAGTAATACTATTTGTTTATCTTTTTCTACCAAAAGATTTAAACAAAATGAGTATTCCAAACCTGGGCATACTTCTCCCCAAGTAAAAAATACAAAGCTGAAATTGTGTAAAAATAAAAATAAAAAACGACCTATATCTACACATAGATACTTAAAAAAGTCAAGTCACTGCAATTATAATGAGGTGAATAGAAATGCATTTTATGTAATTATATTTATAAAATGTATTTATCAAAATATAATATTTGGCCTTTTCCTTAGACTCTTCCAATGACAACAACGATAAATGGACCAAGTTTATGTTCGATCATATCGAATGACGAAGAACACACATCTCCATTCCAAATGATGAGTGATTTCTTCAAATTTATCGGTACAACAATAAAAGACTTTTTCACATTCAGATAATCCATAAATTATAAGAAAATGTATGTAAAAAAAAAGATAAATTATGTCATAATTCATAAAATTGTAAATGATTGAATGTGCTTTTTTTATAGCTGCAAACTTTTTAAAGACTATTAAATATATGTAACTAAACGTCTATATAAAATAACTGCGCTCTCTCTAATTTTATTCTTTACTCACAAAATAACACTTAATATACAAAAAGAGATATCTTACATGAGAGTATCGTCGCCGTTTTCCTGCGAGTACAATCCAATTGAAAAGTTCATTTTATAGCTTATAAAAGGAAATATATCTCCCTAGATTGAGACAAAATGCACGCGTGCGCAGTAGCGTCAGCTCATCGAGTGGTAAAGCTTTTTCTTCGACCCTGGGAACATTGCGTTATACGATTCTTACGGCTGTCGCAGTTTCACAGACTTCTATAGAAGTCTGTGCGTAGTTTCGTAGGAATCTATCATAGAAAACTATTGGAGGTTACTGTAAGAACGTACATACTTGTTCGTGCAGATCAGTGCAGATATAGGCAGACATCACGGTGAAAACGGAGTAACTCGACATTTGCGAATTTTTACGTACATACAGCTTTACAATATCGCATACCTAATACCGGAAACGAAAGCAGGTAATAAAGGAAATAGAAGGGTGGAGAGCAACGCTCATACAGAAAAAAAGACACTGACGTGAAGAAACGCATCGCCAACCAGTAGATTCATCTCAACGCACTTCTCTATGACAACTAAGAAGTATATTCCTTGCGTGTAATTATCCATAATGCAAGTATCCGAAATGCAAGTATCCTAATGATTGTTCTAGATGATTTATCTAATCGAACATTCAGCACTCTCTATACCAAATTAAAGTTATTTTTCGTTTCATTACTATAAAATGAGCAAATTTGTGACGCACAATCGTATGCACTGAGCATGACAAAACTCTGTAAGTGTCAATTTCAAAACTCTTTTTTTATTTCACTAGCAATATAATACGAAAAAATGTTGTAATATAACGAGATACATGCTGACTCATATAGATTGATTAAAGATTTGTGAAAGAAAATCTTATAGAATCTTTTATACACTATATGTTAGTTTCAACTGTTACATATTAAGTTGAAAATAGATTTTATTCATCAATTTTATTTATTAATTTTTTAAAAATAATTAGATTTTACCAATACCTATCGCGTTCATTAAGTCATTAATTATTTAAAATATTATACATATCATAATTTACATTGATAATATATTTTATGTTTTTACAATTTGTTAATATTCTAATCATCTTTTGTATCATCTTTTCTAATCATCTTTTATACTCGTAATTTTACTCAATATCATACTTTATATTAGTAATTAGTATATGTGATTTATTTGTCAGAATGATGTTGTGTGTGTATGTGTGTGTATGTGTGTAAAAATATCTTTCAATATTAATTCAAATCCTACACCTATTCTAATTTTGAATAAAAAAATTGCTGTTGTATATTTATATGTGTGTATCTTTTTATTTTATAGAAATTTCTTCACGAATGGACGTTTATAATAGTAGATAGCAATGGAAGGTCCACTAGAAATAAAGAACCCCAGTGCAGATGTGGAAGAACCTATAAAATCTGAAATTCTTGTACAAAATTCTGATAATAACGAACGAAACGATGCAACCTCTCCACCTCCAAATTGTAGCATTTGCTTGGGAAAGTTAGTTAATACATCTTTTACAGACAGTTGTCTGCATCAATTTTGTTTTACTTGCTTACTTCAATGGTCCAAAATTAAGACGGAATGTCCTTTATGCAAACAAACATTCAAATCAATTATACACAATGTAAGATCAGAAGAAGATTATGATCAATATCACGTACCCCGTGAATTGGCATCGCAAATTCCTCAGTCACAAGTAAATGCTAGTTTGGATGTTAACTTTGATGTCGATTGGGCTGCTGCTCCTCGTCGATTTGTTTACAGGTATAATTTTTTTGTATAATACAAATATGTTTTATACATCAGAAGAATAAATGTATTATGTATACAGTTACACTTACAATTTACACATTTATAAAATAATTTTATGCAATGGTTCAGAACAACGATGACTGGCAATCGTCGACATGGAGTGTTATTGAATCCAGAACAGGTTACAAGACGTGAACAATTACCTAGTATGGCACCTCAAGTGCCTAGAGAAGAACGTAGACGTAGACGTGCTAATCCTACAGATTATCGTCGTACAGTTTATAGGCATGGTATATGGGCTACTTCATTACCTGACATATTTGGACGTTTCCGCGAATGTAGTGCTGATTATTATAGGTAAGTATATTTCTTAATATTTTTAAATTTTTATTATTTATTCTAAAACTCGTATTCAATATTTATAAACGTCTTTATTCATAATATTTAAATTTGTTTGTCAATTGTATTTCAGAAGACAACCACAAGAATTAGATCGTCTTATACCATGGTTAAATAGAGAGTTGCAAGTTTTACTTAATAATGAACCGACCCATGTCGCTTATGTGTTGAGTGTAATAATGGAAACCTTAACTCAACATGATATTAGAAGTCCAGAATTTCGAAATATCGTTCGGCCCTTTTTCGCTATACATACAGATCATTTTGCACACGAATTGTTAAATTTTGCCCAAACCAACTTTGATTTAGTGGGATATGATCAATCTGTTACTTATTTGCCACGTGGTTTGTAATTATTTTTATACAGATTATATAATTGCAAAAAATATCAAGGTACATAATTTATTATTATGCCTATTATAGGTTTATCGAATGAGTATGCAACTCGTATTGAATCACCTACATCCAGTAGCAGTAGCAGTAGCACTACCAGTACCAGTAGCAGTAGCAGTAGCAGTAGTAATCTTACTTTAGACAACTCTGATGTACGAATACTTACTGAAGCAATCGATTTGAGAATAAACGCTGAAATGCCGAATACCTTACCACATCCTATTAGCATGCCAGGTAAGAAATAAATAAATGATGAACTGTATCCTGTGTTACATTTGTAATGTGTGCGTATAGTAGTGTAAATAAAAAATTTGCATTATTTACTACTTCATCGAATCTTTTCCATACATATATTATAATTATATATATATGTATATATATATATGTAATTAATAATAATAAATAATGTATATATACATATACAAGTGCACATATAATCATTTTAGGTCCTAGTGCAGGACAGATGTTTCGCAGAGTAGAAACATCTAATGTTGTACCAGAACTGTTAATCGTTTCATCTGAATCAGATGGCGATTGTGAAATAGTTGGTTATGTAAAACCACGTCATGAAAGAACACCAGAAATTGTAGAGTTACTTTCTTCCGACTCTGAGCATGTGTGTGTTCCTCATACATTGAATGGAAATATGCAGTAAGTTATAAAAAGACCATATCTCATAATGCGTTCAATTTTTTAATCATTTAAACATTGAGATATTGTGATAAAATTTCTTTAAAAAATTACTTATATGTATCATTAACATAAGTGTAATTGTAATATTCAGTGTTTTAAATATTTATCATCACACATATTTTATTACTAGATCGACTACAAGAAGAACACATTTGGAAAATATATCATTACCGAGTACGTCTTATGTTACAAAAGGATCGTCTGAGTCGTCTGGGTCAAGTACTGATGTTTTATCTGACAGTGATACTAATTCGATACAAAGTAGACGAAATCGTTCGAAGAAATCAGGGAAAAAAACGCAAAAGTATAAAAGATCAGATGGGACAGGATGCCGGAATAAATCATCTAAGAAAAAGAAAATGTCCAATTTTAGTGATTCTAGCTCATCTGAAAACGTATTAAAGAAATGTAATGAAAAACGATTGAGAAAGCCAAGATATAGAGTACAAGCTAAAGGTACAGGACGAATAAAACTTATTAAAAGAGAAGAAAGCTATTCAGATGAGGATTCATCTAGCAGTGACAGTAGTAGTACAGAGACTGATAACAAAACGAAAATCAAGAAGTGTTGCAGAGAATATAAATCGAAAAGAGATTGTTTCTCTTGTGTAAAAAACGATCATACAGCGAAAAGTGGAAAAGCAACGAGAAGTAAAGAGAAAACTGTCAATCTTGAAAAGTTGAAGTCTAAGAATAAAAATCTGAATTGTGACGAAAACAGACAATCTAGATCTAGAAGTAATAGTATATCTTCTAGCGCTTCTGAACGAGATAAAAGATCAAACCATAAGCACCGAGAATGTCGAAATACGAACGAGTTTGGAAGTCAAGACGATAGTGCCTCAATAAATAAAGATATGTCAAGAAGTGAATATAAGTCTAAATCAAAAAGGAAAATGTGTTATTCTTCAGATTCGCAAGATGATTGTTTAAGATCTTGTAGCCAGTGTAGCGATTATTCCAATAAATCCTATTCGCATTGGAAAAAATCAAAACATAAAGAAAAATATAAAGATAAACACTATAGATCCAGTAGCAGAATATTTAATTTATCGCAGTCTAACGCAGGCACGATTTTAACGATGTCTATGTCATCATCGAAAAATAACATGTATCCGACGAAACATTCCGATCGTAACGGTTCCGATTGTAAAGTAAAACGTAAATCACACAAAGAGTCTAAGTATAGAAAATCCGAAAATGAAAAAAAATCAAGACCAAAGAAAAAAAAGCGACGTCTTCAATCTTCTTCCACTTCGGAATAATATCACATACAATTTTTGTTTTAGTTAATATTATAAAATAAATTTTAATTTAAAAAAAAAGAAATAATATTCAAATTTTTTTATAAAATATACGTAAATAGTAAGTTAATCAAATTAATTTCATATTATGTAATTTGTATCATTCACTTTATAGACATACTGCGTTCCCCATCATGATGCTAAAATCATTTTATGACTGTTATTTGTTGTAGGATATACTCATTTATTATATATATAAAATTTCAACAATATTTTAAAATATAAGAGTAGGATTATTCTTTTCCTTATAAATTAAATGTTTATATTTCATTTTATTGTATTTACTTGTGGCGCGAATATATTTCCATCTATATTAATAAAGGTAAAATAACTATTGTCTTGGTCTCTATTTTTTATTATAAAATATGTATATATTAAAATAAATTTGTATTGCACATTGCAAATTTCAACAAGAATATTGTTTTACCATAACTTCTCTAATACAAAAATTCTTGCTATAATACCACGCTACCTTTTCATGGGAATATAACATTGCGCATAGCAATATATATGTATATATATATATGCAGAATATATACTTGTATATTGTGTATATGTGTGTATTGCGTGTATATCATTATAATTAATTGATAAAAGAACAATTTGTGCATTTTGGAATATTGTAATGATCTATATGGAGTCCTAAAGAGTGTAAATATATATATGTACTTAGTAAAAATTATTTTAATTAAAATTTGCATCTTATACATATTTTATATATATATGTATGTATGTGTGTGTATTATATATATATATAAAATATGTATGATGGGGATGAAGAATTTACATCAGTAAAACTAGAAATATTATATGTTAAAAATAATTCCTTTCGTATATATATATGTATGTGCATGAAAGATTATAAAGATTATTTTATATATAAATTAAAGCTATGCATGAATATCTTGTATAATTGCGTAATAATCATTACATTTTGTATAATGATAAAATGTTTCATCATTGAAATATCGTTTTTAAAATGAATGAGCTAAAATGTGATGTTTTAGAAACACACAATCTTGTTTTATAATATAGAGATGTAACTGAAAAGATAAAAAATGTGAAACTATAATAAAATAAAAATATCAATGTGTGTAAAAATTATTGCAAATTTGTATTATACAAACACATAGGTATACAGATTTTTTATAATTATTATTATAATACATAAACTAGATAATAATTACATATATCAACATAAAAAATAGAAGAGCACGAATATGGCATGGCACTGATCATGTCAGGTTCGATCTTGGTAAGAACTAAAATATTATACTTGTGCATCTTCTTCAAAAAAGGCCAGCAATCTCCTGAGAGTATCCCTATCCTCAGAAACATTTCTCGAAAAATTTGCCATTCAAAGTCAACGTTAAAACTATATTTCATATGTTTATGACAATTGAATTATGTTATATATATATTATATAGTATATATTATGTATTTGTAAGAAAAACAAAAAGGAATATAAAATTATTACTAAATGTAACTCATATATTTTTCATCTATCATGCAAAGAGAGAATAATATAGTTTTTAATTATACTAAGAATCAATATTTCGTGGAATGAATCTAAAACTCTAATTTTTTAAACAAAATACTTCAAGTATGTTTGCTGATATAAGTTATAATTTTAAGATGTGTGCCAATAATACAAACTTTATAGCTAATATTTTTTCAAATATTCGAAAAATAAAATCTAAGCAACGTGAAAAGTTTTTCATGTGCACAACATTTTTTTTTGTCTATTTCCCTAAAACATTATGTAAGAATTATCTTATGTAAGAATGAGGAAAATTTTAATTTTAAAATAAATGTTTCTTAAAGATAGAACAATTTATTTTCTTCACAAAGCATATTTATTTTATATATTTATAAAAATATTATTCATAAAAATCTTTACTTTGTATATAAATATAATAGTATGTATCCTAACATATAAATTTACGTAAAATGCACACCTTCGGCGTTGAATGCGTGTAACAGGCTGAAAAAGAATAAATTTCCTTTAATTTTAGTGTTTTAATATTTATAAAGTGTATATAAATGATTACATAAAGTATAACTAAACATATATAAACTAAATATTATGTTTATATATTTAGTGTGTGTGTGTGTGTCTGAGCACATATATAAACATAAAAAGAATTAATATTAGAAATAAATTTTAGATTTAAACGTTGAACAAGTGCATCTGCTAAAGTTGATATATATATATACATATAAAGTTGATATAATGTACACTTGTACATTATATTAAATGCTATATTAATAGTATCAACTTATTTTTATACCTCATAAAGTCATCTATGTCCATAGTTCTAGCTCGTTTATTCTTAGCATCTGCTTTTTCTAATACATGGTTTATCAATTGCTTGATATCAAAATTATCCGGTATAATCTATAAATAGTGCCAATTAATACGATGTATGTTATTAGCAAACATTTTAATGTAAAAAAAAACATTTTTTATCGATATTTCCAAATTTTGATAGTATCACATAATGTGTCTTATTTATAACATGTCAATTACCTTATTATTCATACTAGAATGAATTTTATAATTTTTCTCTAACATAGTGACAACTGTGGTTTGTTTGAAAGCTGCAGATAGCGTTTTATTTTTTCTTACGAAAGCAATTCGTGTCAGACCATCCCATTCCTGATAATTAATTGGAGGTGGTGGATTTCTTGGTTCAATTCTCACTACATTCGATTCTATTTTAGGTGGAGGTCTAAAATTATTCTTTCCAACTTTCATCAACATGTCTACTCGTGCCAATAATTGCGTATTAATACTTAAGCGACAATATAATTTGTCACCAGGTTTAGCTACCAAGCGTTCTGCAAATTCTCTTTGAAACATAAGTACAGCACATCTGTAAAAAGAAATCAAGTATATATTAACATATATTATATATAACTTCACTTTCTTTTGTATTACTTGCGTATTACAATTTTGCTAAACTCACTTAAAATTATCACAATTTACTTCTAACTATATGATTAAAAATTTCTTATCTTCTTAGAATATAATCAAGTATCTATCTATGAAAAGTAGGGTGAAATATATATATATATATATGTCTGTGTGTGTGTGTGTATATTAAAATGATACAAGTTATAAATGATAAAAGTTATAAATAATAAAAGAAAATGATTCTTAATCAACAGATTTGATCTAGATTTTTATCTCATATTTATCTCAATTTTATAAGTAAAAAATTGAACAATAGACTATTATATAACTAAATTACAAACATATAACTAAAAGAGCACAAGATAAATAGTAATTCACACTTACATTTAATTTATAATATTTACAAAATCTACACCAAAATATTATTTATAATTACCTGAAAAGTGGTCTGTGTGAAAGTAACTTAAATACTAATGGTGATGATATCTGATACGGGATGTTAGCAACACACAAATCAAAAAATGGTAAATCTGATTTTAATACATCTCCATATACTATTTGTAATCTTGATTGGTGTACAGTTCCTTGAACACGCTTTTGTAATTCTGCTATCATTCTTGGATCAATTTCGCAAGCTATTACTTTCTTTGCCTTCTCAAGCATTTTTACAGTCATATTGCCTGTACCAGGACCAATCTCCAATACAACATCAGTTGGTCTAAGAGCAGCTTTTTCAACCATGCTTTGAATAATTAAAGGATTTTTCAATATATGTTGACCTTTATCCTTATTAAATAAAATTCCTACAAGAAACAAATATATTTCTTACAATTGTTCATTGCATGATATAAAAATTAGTCTTTGTGTTAATTTATAAGTACGTATAAAATATTTTTACAAATATATATATATATGTATATATATATAAATACCTTGCCTCGCAACTTCCGTGTGGACACGAGAAGTAATTTGCGTGCGCACTTTTGGCATTATGTTTTTTATTAGAAATTAATTTATTTAGTAATCACCACACGTATCCAATAGTACCACATGGGTAAAGGTATAGAATACCCCGCTCCTCTCTAATTTTGATAAAAATATACTCAATCGATGCGTTTTTGCATAAAACGAAAGAATCTGGCAGAAAAAAGTGTCACTCTGCCCTACGAACCGAGATATTAAGCGTTAAAGTTGACGACTATTCAGGTTAGGAAATCTGTCATACCCATGGTACCATGGTCATACCGACTGTAGCACTGCTTTCTTCATGCTCTGTGACCTTTTGCGAATGCGTTTCATTACAAATAGTGCACGAAATTTAAAATCAAATTAAAAAATAAATTAGTTACACGTGCAATGTTTTTATTATACGTAGTTCTATTCCAAATAAATCAAAACCCAATATGTGGACAGAGGGGTGTATAGACAGTAAAGCTTAGGTCGGGGCAATATATACATATATATTGCTTTTATTAACGTTTAAACAAAAAATACTGCAAAAGTACATTTTCAGATTGATTTTTAAAAAGTAACGGAAAAGTAACGAAAAGTTACCTTTCGAGTAACGGTAATTATTGTAACGATCAGTTACACACTTTTAAAAAGCGATAACATATAGTAAAGACCATGGCACATAGAAAAACGTAAGGCCGTAAACGTAATCAGTAAGCGAATTGGCCAATCACAGTAGAGACCGTAAGACCGGTAGCGAATCCAATGTTGCGATTTTCTTACTGAATCGTCTTACGGCCTTACGTTTTTCTATGTGTTTCTGGCTTAAGCGAATTGGCCAATCACAGTAGAGATCGTAAGGCCGGTAGCGAATCCAATGTTACGATTTTCTTACTGATTACGTCTTACGGCCTTACGTTTTTCTATGTGTTTCTGGCTTAACGGTAACTCGTTACTTTTTTTACTCGGTAACGAGTTATACTTTTTGTTACTTTTAAAAAGTAACTTTCTATTCCCTATATATATCATATACTTTCAACTTTTCGCAAAATGGCATTCAAACGCGTCATCCTGATCAATTTCGATTTTATACATATGTGTTTTCCTAAAAGCCTATTCTACAATTACATAAATACGTGTAGTTCGACTATAGTTCAGGTAACGTTCTGTCGGTATATCGATCTCCTATTATATCTCTAGAACCAAGAGCCGTTAAAAGTAAAGAGGAAGAACTATTTTATTCTATGTTACAATTGGTATCTTATTAAAATATGTCACTAACACATGTGCAATCACACATAGAACAACAATCAAAAAGATTAAGAAGCAGATCATTTGTACAAGCACACATATTTATTATTTCATTACAATCGATTGAATACGTTGGTGTTTTCCTGTGCAACGGGCTTAATTCGTTCTGCAATAATAGAAATATATATGATCAGATTAGGAAATATATATATGAGTTGACGGAGTACAAATATATAATAATGATAAAATAAATTTCTGAAAAATCTATTTTTACGATCCTAGAAATAATATATTATATGATTTCTCTTTTATATATAATATATATTGCATATTAAATTATTCTATACATGAAAGTACTGAAATAGAAATATTAAAATAATTTACGAGATATTTTATATTTCATTCTGGCATATTTTGGTATAAAATATAAAATATCTCGTTAAATATTACTTTTTATAAGAACAAAAAATAATCGATTTTCAAAAATGTTCAAATTAATCAATTTAATATATCATCTACTATAAACTATAAAGTTTATTAACAAAAATATATTTAATTACCCAATCAGTATACCATATTTAAAAAATATTTTTTAAATATTTATTCAATGTAAAATAGTTATAAAAACATTGAATAAACATTTAAAAAATGTTTCTTAAATATGGTATGCTAATTGGGTAACAGTTCGTGTATATGTGTGTGCATGCATGCGCGCGTGTGTGTAATTACACATATTTTTATAAAATTTATAATTTATAACATAAGGTAAACTTATAATTAAGAATAAACTACTGGTACATGTGTATCGATTTATGAGGTAGGTACTGCATCTAAAATAATTTTAATTACATTCAATAGATAAGTTTTAATTATCCATTCATATGGTGATTTTATTTACTTTTAATTATATGAAAAAATTTAAGGCTAAAATATCTATAATATATCAAGACTACATAATCAAAATGTATGGCGTTATAATTACTGCATTAATCATTTATGCAAAATTTTAATTAGAATTGTGTGTGCGTATAAAATCTTGTGCATTTTCATTGACTCCTCCGTATGTTTGCATTCTCACCTGCAGTGGACTTGCTTCATCCTGCAATTAATAAAAATGTTTGATCAGATTAGGATTATTAATGATTAAAAGACTATTTTTAATATAAAACATATTAAAAAGCAAATAAAACAATTTTTTAACTATATTATATCATAAAATATGTTTAAGAAATGTACAGTATGTAAAACATTTTATACATATGTTATTGATAAATTATACGTTTATATAATAATTGTAATAAAATTTATTTTTTACAAAAAGCGTTATTTTTATCATTAAATATTTACTAAGAGATAAAACCTAGTAACTTGAAATTAATTGTTAAATAAAGAAAACAGGAGATATACTATTCTATACTTTATACAGAAAATATAAATAAGAATAAAAACACACACACACACACACACACACACACATATAATATAGCAAAATGCTTTTCAAGCAGAATTATTATCCAAGACAAATCGATAAAATTATTTCTTAAGCAATCTATAATAATAAAATTTACAATGCGTTTTACATGAATAATATGTTTGTATGTATATGATAAGTATAATGCAAATGTATAGTCAGCACTCAACATTATATTTATTATTGTTAAATCAGTTAAATGTATACTCACAGTTGCTCCATGGTTGGTTAAAATTTAGACAATTTTGATTTATATTTTATATTAAAAAATCATTAAAATTCTCTCTCTCTCTCTCTCTCTCTCTCTCTCTGCACATACTACGTAATATAGTTTAAATATTTAACTATATATACATATATATATCGCTCAGGGTTGGGAAGTAACGCGTTATTTGTAACGGTGTTACCGTTTTCGTTACTTTATTCAGTAACGATCGTTACTTTTTTCTGTCTGTAACGGTAACGGTAACGCGTTACTTTTTTGAGGTAACGCGCACAACTCTGATATATATATACACACACACACACACACACACATGTACACACATACATATATGCAAACATTTTAAAGAAATACAAAGAAATAATATTTTTATTCTCGATGCTTATCAATCACATTGTAGCTGTTTACTTAAGCTTCACATTTCCAAGAGATATACGTTGCATGCGTCATAGATAATAACAGGTGACATCGTACATTTGATGAGTATTTGATGATCCGTGTCTATTCAATGCAACTCACATTCCTTTTTTTCTTAAAAAAAACTCAAAGTTGATTTTTCCTTTAATTCTCTCTCTCTCTCTCTCTCCCCCCTCTCTTTCTATTTTACATGTAATAATTATTTAATGTTCAACACAATTTAATAAATATTGTTATGATAGAACTGTAAATTAAATTTCTATTAAACAAAGGTTAAGATAAAATTAATGAAAAGAGAATACTTTTTTAATATCTTTTAGTCGCTGAAATTATTATAATACAATTTTTTTGTCGAATTTGTTGTAATTTCTTAGTTTATAACATTCACTTTTATATCGAACAACAATTTTGAGATAATCACTATTTTTTGTCTTTCAATTTATAAAAGTAATTTATCGTTAGAACAGTGCAATTGATCAATAGATTGGGACACTTTTATTTGTCACAGTCCCGCTGAACTTACATATACATGTATAGAAACTTTACTACCGCGACGAACAGCTGTAGAGATTAAATCGGCTAAATGACTCTCTTAAATATTAATCATGAGTAGCTATAACCGTAAAAGGTGCTCGCTTTCTTGAAGGATGATGCGCGATTTATTCAACGATTGCAGGCGGCGCGGTGGGAACATTTTTTTCGATAGTGTGAATGTAAATCAAGGATAAATATAACATGAAATATACGTGATTCATAACTCAATAATATTTATTCCTATTACATTTATTCCTATTTACTATTGTATATTGTATTGACATTGAAAAGGATCCGAAGCTCGATTCGAGACGTATGGTCAAAAATAATGGAATACATTATTTATTCTTTTTCACATCAACATTCTGCGAGTTTGGCTCAAAAAGACATTAATTTATTTATTTATATATAATTTTACATACGGGTGTGTGTGTGTGCGTGCGTGCGTGCGTGCGTGTGTGTGTGTGCGCGCGCGCGCGCGCGTGTTATACACCATGAAATATTTTATTTTTCGTTTTTTTTTCTTTTATACAATTAACAATAAAATTTGCTACCTCGTCGTCACTACTGCTCGCTGCTGTTTAATATTTCGTTTAAACAAAAATCGGTTAAACGTCATCACTTCAATCTAACCGCGATTACCCATCAGTAGTGTCAGCAAACTGCACTGTCGAAATTGGCAGTGCAAGAAATTTTGCACTCGTTTAGTTTGCTTTATCTATTTGAATATAAAGTCAATGCTATACTTAATGTGACGCTAATCAAACACAGCATATGATGTGTACCATAATAGTGCAATATTACCAAATACGACGAGTGCAGAGGACCGATTGAACACGTTGCACTGGGAAAAATTTACACTGTGTAGACTAGTGCAGACGACCGAATTCGCTGTATTAGGTCAATCGGAAAGTTCCGTCCATCTAGCGTCAAGTATCTATACCTGAAACTGTCGATAATTCTAATATGTCTAAATCAAGCTTAATTTTTTGGTTTTATCTGTCAATAAAATTCAATATATAAAAGTATACGTTTGCATCAATAACATTTTGTTTCTTACTGCATCGAAAATGTCGAAATTTGAGCTAAATAAACGTCATTTGCACAAAGTGTTAATCTTTTGTTACAAATGGAAGAAAACTGCAACTGAAATTCATCGAATGTTTGTAGAAGTAATAGTGTTCCTTCCGATGAAACATGCAGAGAATGATTTCGACGTTTTCAAAGTGGTAATTTTGATGTGGAAGATATAAAGAGCGTTCTAGACAGCCAAGAGCATTTGAAGACAAAGAATAATTGCAGGCATTGGTGGATGAAGATCCATGTTAAACGCAAAAACAACTTTCAGAAGCATTAAATTGTGCTCAATTTGTTATTTCTGATCGTTTAAAAGCCTTAGGAAGGGTCTACAAGGAAGGAAAATGGATTTCATATGAACTGAAGCCAAAAGAAACATCGAAAGGCGAAAAGCCACTTGCGTTTGTTTACTAGGCAATAAAGGAAGGGGTTTTTGCATTGAATTGTGACTAGCGATAAAAAGTGAATCTATTTCGATAACTACAAACGCCGAAAATTCATTTGTGATTCAGGTCAACCATCGACATCGACTCCAAAACGCAATATTCATGGGAAGAAGGCCATGCTCTGTATTTGGTGGGACCAAAAGGATACCAAAAGCTGTTGAAATCTGGTCAAACAGTCACAGGAGACCTCTACCGAGAATAAATAATTGAGCCGAGCATTGCACGAAAAACTACCAAAATATGAGACAAGACAGCATAAGTGATTTTGCTTCATGACAACGCTCGACCTCATGTCACTAAGGGTGTTAAGAAAACATTGAAAGGACTTCGCTGGGAAGTGCTATCCCATGCGGCTTATTCATCAGACTGTGCCCCTTGCAACTATCACTTGTTTCGATCGATGGCACACGCACTTCCTGAAAAACACTTCAATTCTTATGACATCTAAAAATGGGTTTCTGACTGGATGAGTCTCAAAGGATGAGTCATTCTTTCGTCGCGGAATTCACTTGCTGCCCGAAAGATGGATAAAAGTAATTGCTAACAATGGATAATATTTTGATTAATGTACTTTTTTATTTTGTTTCTTAAATAAAATCATACTTTTTGCAAAAAAACGGACGGAACTTTCCGATTGATCTATAAATATTAAGAACCTTAATTTCTATTAATTAATTTATTAATGTATCTATATAAAAAATAGTCTAGTCATAAATTAATCAAAGTTGGAAGTAAATTCTTCTTCGCACAAATTAAATGAAGTGAAAAAATTTAATACAAATTTATTTCGTAGATTGTGACAATTAGATCTCGATTTCATCGCAAAAAGTAATAAAATACTAGAATTTAAAAAAATTAATTCGTTATTTTTTATTACAAAATAATATTACAATGTGTTATAATACATTATAGGACCTCTTTATAGTCACACGCTCGGAACCAAATGTGACAATAAAGAGATTATCTTAGTTCCGTTCCAAAGCAGAATCGTAGCCTTCTTAAAGACACATGTAGAACTCACTGAGAGAAATGTTTTGATAACTATTTATTTTGTTGAGATGTGACTAATAAAAGATTTTTTACTTTAGTAAGAAAGTTTTTTACATACAACTTGACGAAATACTACATTTTTTTGCATTTTTAATTTTTTATCCGAAAGCAATCTCTTCAATTATCTGTTGCTTATTGTTATACACTTCCTCTTTTGATTCAATTAAGTTTACACTTAAAAATAATTAAGCAACTAATAATTATGCAAAATAATTATCTATATATAAATGGTAATCTCCAAAAGTTACAAATGATCGCTAAAAGTACAGACCTGAGTGCGTCTAAAACTCATTCTATATTCGCTTAAACGTAGTTGTAAGTGCCTAAGTGGCTGTAGTTGTAAATTGACTAATCACAGTCGAACATTTTTTCGTATTTGACTGTGATTGGTTAATTTGTACAACTACAACTATTTACAACTACGCTTACGCAATTGCAGAATGAGCTTAAGTAGACAACTACGCATTGTTTACTGCGCAAGCAGTTGTCATGGAGACGTGTCACGTGGGTTACAAACGTGTGCTTATACGGAGGTCGACTGTAGACTATTGGAAGATCGTAACTATAAAGAAGTGGACTATAAAGAAGTTATACTATATTATTATTTAACATAATTTATATATTAATATAAATCATTGTACTATATAATATAATATTGTTATTTAAAACAATCAATATTTTATTTATTATTTAAACTATATATATTTTAAATAGCTATTTCGTTAAAACTGCTTTAAGTATATTAAAAAGAGAAGAAATAATACAAATTTCGAAAAATTATAAGTAATCAGTTTTCTTAATGCCAAAGTTTAAGCGTTCATTGTTACATAAATAAAAATAATTATCTCAATGAACTTTATCTATAATTTGCAAGATAAAGTTTTAAGACATACTGATCAATTTTAGAACATTATAAAATCATGAGTAAAAATTGTGATTTTATACTAAATAATTTATTGATAGTTCGTATTAATTATCATATAAGATAAACTATATTAAATCGTAATAGGATCGAGATCGATTCAAATCTCTCTCGACGTCTCTTTCTGAGTCTCTTTACAATCCGAATGCATCTAAAGCTACAATTCTACTTATACGATCTATCTGCTCTGCAGAATAGGCCAACGTATGTTAAATATGATGAGGATGAGGACATGATTTAGAGAAATGAGTCATGTCCTCGATGTATACATACTAAACATATTTCAATTATTGCAATAAGCAAACTATTAGGATAAGAAAGTGAAGAACAATATAAGTATAATATATAATAAAAATACATGTTAATACAATACATTAATTGTACTTCAGATCACCGAGTTTCTATTTAGTTTCATAATAGAATACTCATATAAAGGATGATCGATTTATATTACTCTAAAATATTAAAAGCACCGATCTGTCAATTAAAAATAAATATATCGCAATAAACAAAATAAATACATCTTCATCGTTATTATCTAAAACTTTGTAAATACTTGTAGTTATAAAAATAACGTATTCTTCTTCATTTCCATTCAATAGAAAATAATGTTTTGCGAAACATTTTGATCTTCCGCTAATCAATCGCGAAAGACGTCACACAATATAGGCTTCTAGAAACACATCTATTCGAGCGCTACTAAAAGCTAAGAGATAAAGGCATAACAAAGTAAAAGATCAAAAAATTATCGCTTCTCGCTGCAACGAAAGTATATTACATTTCACATCACACACATACGCATAATAAATCACACAAAGCTCAACGAAAGACAAAAAGTATTCGCAAGCTTCAATTACATTGCACTCTATTTTTCCCTTCATCTCTTTTTCATGATCTATATCAGCATCAACGAGGCTCAAATAAAATTATTGTATAATAATGAGAAAAAAATACAGTAAAGATACGGTAGTTGAAAAATAATTCCAAAATAGTAAGATAATTTACTATCTTGAAATTAAAAAAGTATTTTTTGAAGATTTTAGAACTCGTCGAGCGCTAAAAGCATTCGGGGTTGGAGAGGCTATGCTGCAGACATGTCCGGAGAGAGATCTAGTCTCATCTGATGCCTCATGAGAAATCCACGGATCTTTTTAGTTTCCCGAGGACAACTAGAAGATAGTTACGGTCTTGTTGCAGTCAGCAAGCGAAGAGCGAGCTCGTTAGGTCAACAATTGCGATTACCAGTGCCATTATTCACCTGTATGCCGGTGACACCAGTCTCCGTTTCGTAATCGGTAGTTCGATGTTTCTCTATGGAACAGTGTTTTCCTTTTTCCTCATTGAAAAGATCTGCCACGCAATGTGCCTAGAAAAACACCATAAAGATTTTAATTGCTCTATTTTATCTTGTCAAAAATAAATTTATCTCGTACCATATGTATATCGATCTAATTTCAGCATACACATTTCAATTGAGTATATGTATCTAATTATATTATAAAAAAGAATGACATTCAATCAGATTTTGATAGAAACAAAAATTATCTTAATTCTCAAAAAAAGGAATTCTTGATCAAAAATATTTCTATTTATTTATTACTAATTTTTAAAAATAATATTATAAAATTTTATATATATACATATATATATTATATATCAGAATTCCTTCTTGCAATTGATATCTATTCATTTTTTAAATGTGATGATCGGCTTACCACCACTAAAGCGCTGACAATGCCGAGGGTAGATCCAGCAAGTACATCACTCCAGTGATGTTTATAATTGGAAATTCGTGACATCGCGGTAAACCAAGCCATAAGCAAGCATAACAGTTGAAGGAAGTGTCTAAGCAGCTTACTGCCTTCCCACTTTATTCTTAATTGCAGATACATCTAAAGAATCCCAAATTAGTCACGTATGTGCGCGCGCGTGCGTGTGTGTGTGTGTGTGACATTACCAATTTTATAAAATAAAAACTGAATCAAATTACAGTAGATAAAGTTTTGATCAAATTAATTTATCAATGGAACCTTTTTCATTAATATAAAACAATAACATATGTATAACATATATATTATAAATTAAATACGTAAATAGAAAATTTTAGAGTGCAAAAAGAGAATCTAAACAATTTAACAAATTTTATATATAGTGCTATAAATAGATAAATCACATTTTCTAAAATTTATTACAATATGTCATATACGTATGTATATATCGACGTAAAATCAAATAATTCAAAGTAATTCACGCAATTAATTAAAATTTAATTTAATATTCGAGATATAATTACTTTTGTAGCAACAGATACAATTATAGCATAGACTTATGGTAGCTTTGTCAAAAGCATGGATCAAACTATAATCGAATTCAGCGTAATTGATGTTTTACGTATTAAATTATGTAAATTGATGTTTGCGGCTGAAGATTCTAAAGACCGTTCACGGATCAACACACTCATATTAGATCCGTTGGATGATTACGATCCGACTCGCGCAAATTGTAAATCAATGCAACACTTGCATAACGTATAAAAGACTACTTACCGCAAGGTAGATCATGGTGTAGGCCGAGAAGGACGAGTGACCGGAGGGAAACGATAATCTGAAACGATCGATCGTGCCAGGTCAAATAAATTCTATTTATCGATCGGTGTATGAAAGGGAGAATGGAAAAAATGCCTCCTTCGCTTTCTTTTCGCGATCGTCGTGTATACACACGTATACAGTGTATGCATACGTATGCATCCTTCCTCTCTCTTGCTATCTCGCCCTACTAATTTTATCAAGATTAATTTTGGGAAGTATGGCGTGCCGATTACGATCGACGGGATGGCGAAGAGCAGCCGCGAGCAACGAAGAATACGACGAAGAGGATGTCGAGCCACAAATCTCACAAGCAAAAAACGTAGAAAGGGGGCGCAAAGAAGACTCGATACTTGTATCTTCTTCTCGCCCTCCATCTTCATTCCGTTTCGCCCGAGAGATTCGCTCATAAAAAAATTCAAACGTATTACGTTAATTAAGACCTGCAGTTCACCAATCGGCAGCGATTGCGTTAATAGGGAGTTTTTGCAATATACCGTTCATTCCAGATACGGGAAAAATTTGATTTATATTATTAGAAGTGATTATTAGAAGAATATCATGTGAAAATGTAAATATGTATTGTAAAATTAAAAAATTTTTAAATCCTTTATATATGCACTCAAGGATTGATACAGTTGTCATAATTTGAGATTAGGGAGTTTTTGCAATACCGTTTATTCCAGATATGAATGCTAAAGTCACGTTATCTTTTTCTTCATACCTAATTAAAAAAAGGATAACGTGACTTTAGCGTTCACCGTATCTGGGATAAACGATATTGCAAAAACTCCCTAATCTCAAATTATGACAACTGTATCAATCCTTGAGTGCATAAAGGAATAAAAATTTTTTTAATTTTACAATATTTACATTTTCACATGATATTCTTTTAATAATCACTTCTAATAATATAAATCAAATTTTTTCCTTTCTATAATTTTTACGATAACTTTGAAACACTATCTTTTGACAGAATTAAAATTATAAAAACCATGCTTTTACAATTACTTTCTACAAATTTTGAGAAAATTTATTAAAAAACCTCAAGCATCCAAGATTTGTCTTTGTCAGAGTAATTCGTTTCTCTTTACGTCTTTCAATGCATTAGCATAAATCTAAAAACATATACCGATAAAATTATGTACGATACGATATATTAGTAATGAAAAATTCTTTTCAGCGTTCTGTCAAAGTGTATTCTTGTAAAAAATGCTGCTCGCTCTTTTTGTTTATCAAACCCTTCTTCTCTCTCTCATTATTCTTTCGCTTGGCACAGTTCCTTTGCCTGCTACCGTGTGGAAAGAGACAACTGAGGGCTGGAACGCACGAAGGGACCATGAATGAATTCTCTGTGTGACGTCGTCTCTTTATCGTCAGGATTCCTCAAATCTCTCTATAATATAAAACTGTCCCTGCTGGCGCGGCAGCCACGCGAACGAAGAGTGGATGACCTGTGATATGGTCGAGTACGCGTGTACGTAGCACCGAAAGAGTACCGGCTTCGTTATATCGCACAACCGTCCCTTCTTTTTGTTCGCTTCACGATAACGTCCACTTGATCTCCCCGTCTTTCTCGAGGGCGAGGAAGAAAAGAGAAGAACGACGAAAAAGGAGAAAGGAGTGACGTAAGCTCGTACAGCGCTATAGTACGGGTTAATCGCGATATTTCGTGGACTCTGGAACTTTACTGGAAACTATCAACTTTACTGGAATGCGAAGAGAATCGAGACCGCTCTCATCGTTGTAGCTTCCTCTTGAGCTTCTCACTATATTCAAATTCGCGAATTCGGGTTAAACTGCTTTCGCATGATTTCGGAGTATAATATCAATCAACGGGGTGCTATGTACGATAAACTCGAATACATTTTGCGTTCAATTCACGTAGATGTAAAGAAAGTTTAGTGTACAGCTGTACTGTGTATTCGAGTAGGTACTTGTTGTAAAGAAAAAATTTAAGAAGATTATTATAAACTAAACTTGTTTCAGGTACTTTTAAAGGAATTCATTAAGAAATTCAGTGAAATAACACTCTGAAAATACAACTCTGAAATGAAAAATATATAACAAAAAATGTTTAAAAATAATTTTTAAAAATAATTTTCAAGATTGAATTTTTTAATTAATGTAGTAAAATACAAATTAAATCATTGTTGTATTAAACTCTTTAACTAAAAATAAAAAGAATAGTTAAAGCTAATAATAAATGTCGGTAGTCTTTCGGAAAAATCTAATTTACAGGAACGATTTCTTTCTACTGTCCAGTATCCAACATCCGAGTGTAATTCGTCACGTTAAATCAATTTCACAAGTCGTGAATTTGCGTTTATTTCTAACGTATATTCCGGACTTGTAAAAGATAATGACATATATACGCGTTAGAATTATGTTAATAGGCTCAGGGTTATCTCTAGTAATAAGCCGTATGTGATTCTTCGCACATCTTCTCAAATTCACGCGTGCCTAAACGTCCTAAGCCGTATAGGCGCGTCTCGCAAATCTTTTACTTTGATCTTTTTGCACATCGTCTTTGAGGCTGTACGCGTTTCGCCTTTACCGTTATAGATAAATCAAAGACGCAAATTTTACAGACGTAAGAAGAGTGACTGAGATGCTTTTATATACCTTGTCTTTCTATTTTCTGTTAAAATTGCAATATAAAATGCTGAACTTAATAGTTCCTATAGAATTTATCATGAAAATATCTATGTTGTACTTATTATCCTATATAGCCACTATGAAGATTAACAATAGCAAAAAAATAAGATAATCCCAAGGCTCATATGAATAAATCCAAAAGAAACAATAAAATGCCAATGTGAGCCGATATAAGTTAACAGTGTTCATTTTGAATAAAATTTATATATAAAGATATATATATATATATACACACACTGTTAACTTATATCGGCTCACATTGGCATTTTATTGTTTCTTTGGATTAACAATACAGTATTTAATAAACTGTAAACATTTTTCAAAATTAAAAAATCTAGTTAAATTGAAAGAATGTAAGATTTTTTAGTGATAATGATCTTTTCATTATAATTGATTACAATCACTTTTGCATTGCAAGTTTTCGAATTGCCGATCGTGATAACAGTTATTGTAGCTAACGACAATAAGCGGAACGCATACGCGAATAATTCAAGCGTGTAACAGCACTTCCGTTAGCCAAGGGGAAGAAAGAAAAGAAAAGAAAGAATTGCACGATCTGGAATGAATCTCGTTCATGTGAATCGTGTTGGCAAAGCCTACAGGCAGAGCGCTGCTCATTGTCATTCGCTACTGTGGTTCTTTTTGTATGCGTACGCTCGTGTGGGTATCAGTTAAAAACCGGCCTTCGGGGGATACACGTATACGTAGTATATCCGGAATGCGCGAAAAGGTTTTTCTAGCCGGTGAACACAGCTCGCATACGCGAAGTAATCAATTTAAGAAACATCGTAAAATCTTGAATTTATACCCAAATTCAATAATGCGTTAAATGCAACGTTAGCAAGATGTTTTTCTGATATAATTTTCTGATGTTAGCAAGATATTTTGCAGATATAATTTTCTGAAATAAATTTTAATTTTTATTAAAAAAATTCTCAATTGAAATTTAGATTTACTTTGACTTTTTATATTTTTGAAAACATTTTTTTAAGATTTTTAAATATAAATTTCTTTCGTAAAAGAAGAATTATTATTTTTGTGATATAAGCAACAATTTTCTTTATTTATTTATCACTCTCTAAACAAGTTTATTCAATAAATTTCAAAGATTTATATTTTCTTCCTCTCAAAAAATCTAATTCCTTGATGTTTTATTTCAGAATTATAGCCTACAAAAATGAATACGCAAACAATGCCACTATAATATCAATGAAAAGAATGCATAAAAATAACTCAATAAGACATAAGCGGGATAAACGAGTAAATGACTGATAATTTAATTAGCATTTAATAAGAGTCAAGCGTCGACATATCGAGTCGATTTAAAAGACAATCGTGATCGTTTTTTTCAGTTCTTCTTCCACCGGGTTTGCTCCCTTAGATTACCACAAATTATCGTTTGGTCTCGTGTTTCATAAACCTGTCTCCAGAAGCGCAAAGTCCACAAACTATTAATGAATTAAAATAATGAAATGCGCTTCCCGCTTCTTCGTTCAATTGCACGCCTCGCCAGTAATTGCTGGTGCAATTGTTACCATCACGCGATCTAAGCAGCTTGTATCGTATCGTCGCAAATACCATTATTTCAGGGTATTGCCCTGAAGATCTGTCGATGTCGGCTAGTTGCTGTCGATTGTATCGAAAATAAAGTTGCGGAGGTCTCGCAATATGCACCGAAACCAAATATAACGCTGGCTATATTTTGCATGGTGGAATTAGATTCGTCAAATACGATTAAACTTTATCGATTTGCCCCAAGTTCATGTCATAATCCATATTTAATCGCTATGTAAAGAAAATAATTTCTTTCCGTTTGGATATGTGCACATTTGTAATTTCAGAAAAAAGAAAAATTTTATTTCGACAGTATGGTTAATAACTGTGAATGTATCTTTCAATAAAGAAAATCGTAAGACTATTAATTATTTCACATATTTAATAAATAAATAAATATGGTTGATATATAGTATATTTAATTATTTTTCATATAGTTTTTTTCATAGAATTCAATTGTTATTACCTAAAATTATTAAAGTTATTTACTATTTTAAATTTGTTATTAGTACCATATATAATTTGTATTTTTTATAGGACACATGAAATATTTATCATTTTTTTAATTGATAATTATATTATTATAAATGAAAAAATATATAATTACGTCAAAATATTATATTACAGCAAAGAGATACATTTCAAGACATGTAGGATTACGATCAAGAGACCAGATAATATTCCTGTTGCGACAGATTAAGATGTTCTATCTCCCTTCAAGCTGATGAAAAATTCAGGAATGTTTCTCGCGTCAAATCTCTTACCTGACTTCCTTTAGTAGCTTAGTCGAGACCGTTGCGGTACAGTGGAAATTCACGATATATTTGTGTTGATACTCGGGCAGGTTGCAGTCAATATTGGGTACACAGAGCTCCATGAAGTGTGGTCGTAGTCGACCTATAGTATACTTAGCAATATCGGTGATTAGAACTGTACAAGCGGCACCGAAACCGAATACACCAACCTGTTAACATTATCTTTTACATTATTTTTTATAATAAGTTAATATTACTTCTATAGAAACATACAATTGATAAGAATTAATTAACTTTTAATAATTTTTAATTCGTGGAATTAAAAAGTTACAGAAGCAATCTTGATAAAAATGTAAATTAATTTTTACTTAATTCTTTAATAAATTTTGAATAAAAATAAATAGACAATCTTTAAAATTAATAAAACTAACTAACCTTGTTGTAAGCATTCCACAGCCATGGAGGTATGGTGTATCCGAAAAGCACATTCGCCGTGTGTCCAGAGAAATCCCTCCCGTGCAGGTATTCCCCTATAATCATCTAAAATCAAAGATTGAAATTTAGAAATATCAGCCATATGTTCACATCCAATGTATTCGAAGCAGTTTATACGTCTGACATACCTAATCTTTTTCCAGGACTTTTACGAAACTTATAGAACATTTTGTAAGACTATTCAGATCTCAAGAATTTTTCAAAGCTCAATCGAAAAAAAGTGTTCTTGAAAAACAGAGATAGAGAGAATTTAATTCTCTTTCTCCTTTTTAAATTCTACCAATTTGTCATATTTTTAATCAAAACGGATTCTAACTAGGCCAGATCCCGGGTAAAGGTCCGCTGAGTGATACAGCGAATCCAAAGTTTACGAAGCATGCGTAAATGAAATACGACGGTGAGTCGTGCGCGTTCTACCTGTTTCTACCTGATCCCTCCTCTTCTTGATCCCGGGGGAACGTATCATATATCAAGGAGCGCGAGCAATCTGCTTTCCCTACGAGTGTGAGTAAAGAGAGATAGATACTAAAGGCAACCGGCTCTGCGAGAGATTCGTGAGATTTCGAGAGACTCGAGAAGGAACACGACGAAGGGATGAACCCTTCTCGGATTGAATCTGCGTCCAGGTACAGGAATGCGTATTACCTATAAAACGTATAAAACCATACCACATCAAGAAACGTCAAGAAGGTGCAAGAAAGATAAGAGAGATGCTGAATAGAGACAGCCAAAAGAGAATGTCAAAAAAGAAAAATGACGGTATAAATAAATTGTCGTAAAATCTATTTATTAGATAATCAAATCGTCAAAAATATCAGAAAATAATAAACTAATCGTATATCTTTTTTTATCCATATATGTTGAATGCATAATTTCAATCATCAGGATTAAATATATACATATATACAATTTAATTTTAATAACAAACTCATAATCATAATGAACATTTTATAGAGTATAAAGAATCTAAATTGAGCGGTAATAAGATTTTTTAATTAATAGTTTACAATATTACTAAGAAACATAAAATAAAAATATAAAAAATATATAAAAGTATAAAAATAACATTTCGGAACTCACAGGTCCTTCTTCAGCGATTCATAAAGATGTTTCGATGTCAATGAGATAAACGCATAATCTTACGGTCAAAGCGACATGGTGTGAAATTGTGCTGGTATGACAATTTGTTTGAAGCGAAACGGTTCTTCTGTTTTCGTGTGAATGTGGAAATTGTATAAAATGTATAAAAACATCATTAACTTGAGCATCATTAACTTGTTCGTCTGATTTTGTTAAGCGCAAGTGTTACAAACGCTTATTTTATGCGCTAAGAAAGACCTGTAAGTTCCGAAACGTTATTTTTGTACTTCTATATATTTTTATTTTATGTTTCTTAATATTATTGTAAACTATTAATTAAAAAATCTTATTACCGTTCTTGATTTAGACCGTTTTTCTTTATACTTTTCATTGCAAACAACGAGCGAAATCTAATTACTTTATAGAATGTTATAAAGTGTTAAATATATACATATATAAAAATTTAATGCTTTTGTTTACCGATTTTAAAATTTTAAATAAATTACTAAGATAGTAAAAGTTTCGATAAAGTTATGTAAAATTTAATAAAATTAAAACAAAATTTGACTGAATATCATATCTATTAAAATATGGTATATCGAAGAAAATGCAAAAAATCAGTAGTATTCTAATTTTTTCAAATATATAATTTTTTAGTAACCAATATCCCTCTCTCTCCCATCTTCTGCTCTTCTATCTTCAAGTTACTCCGACAAAGAATTAAAACGTACGCGCACGCGGTGCGGAATTATTTGCCTAACAAAAATATTTACTTAACCGATCATAATAATCGATTATATTTCTAAGCAACAATCAATGGCTATACATAAATATGCTGGACTATTTCTATTCAATATTGATTCTTAAATAATATTCAAGTTTATTTTAAAAACGGTAAATCAAATTCTAAAATTCTGTAGGTTTTAATTTTAATTTAGTAAAAAAATCTCAAATTGTGATTAATGTGATCTTACTTTTTAAAAAACAATTTTTCCACTCAACAGTTCTTTGTGCACTTCACAGGATCCTTTCTTGCGCGCGGATACATATGAGTAGTTAGATGATTGCATAGATTTCAAGGAACTCTACGAAATCGTGATACAGACTACACTCATCTTACGTACATAAAATAAGGTTTATTTTGTCTTTCATTGCGGTAATTTCTCACACGCGCGAGCATGCGATTTATAATCATCCGCTTTCAATCAAATTCACACACTCGCTTAACGAAGTAAAGACGATTATGAAATAGAAGAAGAATCCTCTTTATGCTGCTACATAAATAAGCGTGACTGTATATCGCGGGAGAGAGAAAGTCACACGCGGCATAATATGGCAAAGACATTACTTAAATAGACGCTGCTTACCGTTCATTCTAGTAATTATATCTATCAGATTTATATCGTAACAACCACGCCAGAAAACGCTCATGAAATACGTCAACAGAACGTTATACGACTAATTTGAGACCAATTAGATATTCCAGCATCAAATTACAAAAAACAAAAATTATAATAGTTTGTTCATTTAATTTTAGAATTGTTTAATAGCTGAAAAAATAACAAAGAAAAAAGATAACAAGATTAACACCATATAATTTTTTAAATTTTTCTGTAATTTTACATATATTGATTTTGTTATCATTAATTGCTATCGTATATCATTAATTTTGAAAATAATTATTATTCCTTTATTTAGAAAACTTATTTAAGACTAAAACATAATACAAAATTTTCTCTGTAGTCTAATTGGTTAGGGCACTTGCGCGTAAAGCAATCCGCTCCTCCCGACCGAGGTAATATTTTTTGCAATATAATTAAATTATTTACAGATTTTTAACATGTCATTCATAGATTATTTTAATATGTCATTCAATATATTATTTAGATCCAAGATGCAATAAGCATCAAAATTATTAGACCGTTAGTCAATTTAATTCGTGATAGTACTGCGGTAGTTTATTAGTTTGATAAAAATTATTTATTCATTTTTTAAACAATTTTTAATGCGCGGAAGAGGCACTTTTCAGGGTATATGCATGAAATGTTGGTTGAAATCGGGGAATTCTTATGAGGCATTTATGATAGGGTAGATCAGGGAGTAAAGGTCCTCGGGGAAAAAGTTCCACCCCTTGTATCTCGGTAATAACGCATTTACTAGAAAATTCTACCACACAGTTTGTCAACTAAGAGTGAGAATCTTATGTCACACAGTTCGTTGCTACCTGATAACCGCCAAGAAGCTTGCACGGATGTGCCCATGTGTTTGAGAGTCAAAAGTAACCTGTTAGCGCTACAGTTATTTTGGTCTGAAGGGATTATTTTTGAAAGGTGCCTTTTTCGCGCATTAAAAATTGTTTAAAAAATTAATAAATAATTTTTATCATCAGAACTCTTCGGAAGGCGTTAGGATACATTCAGCACTTCACAAAAATTACCATAGAACTCTCAGAACTGTCGAGAATTGGACAAGGTTTTATTTTTATTGCTGAAAATGGAATTTTTGGGTTAAAATATTATTAAAAATTGAAAATATAACATTGTTTATCACCAAAACTCTTTTTAAAACTTATGTAGAACTGTTTGTTTTTCAAAATCTTACAAGAATCTGTGGTCAAAAGTTGTCTAGGACAAAGTGAGACGCTGCGTGAACCTGGCGTCTCAGTTTGCACTTTCGCTTTTTTTCCACTTTAGAGGGCAGAACTATTAGTTTTATCTATCAGACTATCAGGAATTATAGAACTATTGAAGATACGTTCAGAACTATCAAAAATTTTTTAATTTCGACCAAATGATACGCCAGCTTCACATACACTACTGCAATTTCACGTGCTTTGAATTATGCACAACGCTTGAAATTATTTGCCTTGCGGTGACAGCGTTAATTTGAACTTCATGCAATGGTTGAGAAGAGAGCAGAAGAGCAGAGTGGGCATCTGACGTCTGAGGAGCAAGTCTTTCGTGACCGACACTGAAATGAGAAACATCGGCAAAAAAGAAGAAAATCGAAAATAATGCGTTTTATATTCAAGTGAATCTGATTATGACACAATAACTTGCAACTATTCGTTTTTGCCCACAGTAAAAAAGCAGCATTTATTCCTTAATAAATAAATAATATAAATATTCAATAAACCATATAAATTTGCATTAATTTCATAATTTGTATAAAATACAAAAATCAAATTTGTCTTCAAAAAGATACAAAATCAGAAAGGAAAACACATCAGAAACCATTGTATTTTCAGGTATTTAATATCTTTTACGAAGATTAATCCATGATAAATTATTTAAAATGATCACAAAAATTATTTCACTTAAATTACTTCTTTAAAAAAAAAAATAGATGTTAAAAAGTTTGATGTAAAATAATTTGATTAAAAATTGATTTTATATATTGTACATAAATAATATATGTATGCAATATTTATAAGAAGAATTAAAGAATTAGAAAGAAGTTAACGAGTTTGTATTATGTATATAACATCAAAATGTAAAAATGACAAAACTAAAAAGAGAAACTATAAGAACGCTTTTTATTCCTGTTTTTCGTATATATATAGTAAAAGTTAATTTTGGAATATATAGATGTCAATATATTAGATCAGAAATCTATAGAAAGAAGGAAATTCCATGTATTTATTGAAGTTGAATAGCATAGATTTCTAAACGTTTATATAAGAGAAAATATGCGAAATTTATAAATAGTTACGAACTACTCATGGAAACGTGCCGATCACTCTCATAAACAAGGTCATGTGGTGACGATATACCATGGAAAAGGAAAAAATCGTAAACTCGTTTCATTGCATTCGATTGAATCGATTTTGCTCCGTTCCATTTCGAGAGAGCAACGGAAAACAAATTAAAAATACATGTGTACGAAAAGAACAGTTTTTATCTCTCCTTCTTTCTCTTATATCTTACGAGAGCTTAGCAAAAATGTTCGGATTATCATACATGTGTTGCAACTGTTGTGTGCATCACTTTCGTATATCGTAAATTGATACCCATTACGAGCATCAAAAACTTATATTTCCCTTCAGTCTACTCTCATGAGCAGGCAGTGAGGCACGAGCCACCTCGTGTGTCTCTCGTATTCTTAGGCTCCACCTCTATCAACCCTCCTTTTAGAAGGGTAAAAAAGAATTTCAAAAGCGGCACGCAACGGAAGACTCTTTCAATCGTTCGCGATCGCATCTGCTATTGATCAAAGCGCCGTATCGTCACTATGTATTATAGAATTATACAAAGATACGACACATAGACGATCATAGATCTCCTAACGTTTTTATTTTCGCTTAATATAAGTAAAGAATTTCCAATTTTTAAACCAGCACGTTAAAATGTTTATTAAATGTAATATTTCAATGATGTGTGATTTAACGTGGAAAATATTACAAAACTACAAATATATCAAAAAAATCTTTTTGATATTTTTTAGTAAGTACAAATAAGAAACATTTTTAATATAAATGTCAAACTTTAAATTATTTAAAATAATAATGACATTCTGTGTATATAAAAAATATTCAGATTGTGAAAAATTGCAAGAAACACACAAAGACAGTTTTTAATTTATAAACATGTATATGTAATTTTTTTAAAGCAAAAAAGTATCTGAGAAAAAGAGAATGCCAATAAAAAATAAATGATATTTTCTCTGCAATGAGAAATATTTAACGTTAAATTAACTTGCTAAACAATAGCTATATTTAAAATGTAAATTTTTACATTTCATATAGAAGCGAATAATGCGTGTGAAAGAATCAACATGATAGAGATGAGATTCTCGCTGTAGGTAATGGTCAATTATCAGGTGATTTCTCACGAGTCTTATATGCTTATATCGTATAAATCACAATCGTAATTGCAAAGGTGACTCACCATACATATAGGAAGAAAAAGACCGATGACGTATAACATCGTGCTCGTAACCGTAGATTCGTGATACGGATGATAGAGTGACTCATCGTTGCAAAAGAAACCGCGTTTATAAGGTTTGCCGAATAGGAAGAACATCAATACGGAAATGCCCACTGAAACATAAGAGAAAAACAATCTCGTTATATCGTCGGTCACTCATTATAACCATACAGCAGTAATGTCATCGTTCGCAACAAGTTGATCTATATAGCAATCGATTAATCAGAGTTGAACATCGTCTCGTGAACTCCAAATTAACATGCAATTTATTGCACTTGCTGTACAGCTGCTACTGTTGCTACTGACGTATATAACAAATTCAGATATAATATTCATGTGATTACCAATCAAGATGGCATGCATTCAACATTCAACTTTGAACGATGCTCTTTGGCCGAATTGAAATCTTTTTGATTAGAAAATATTTTTACATATCGTGAATTGTAGATCTATTATATTTTCACACTTTTATGATTAAATATTTCACAAATCATAAATATTTTATTATAGAATATATGCATGCACGCACATCTCTCTCTCTCTCTCTCTCTCTCTCTCTCTCTCTCTCTCTCTCTCTCTCTCTCTCTCTCTCTCTTTCTATCTCTCTCATCATATTACTTTGATTAAAAATTTTAGAAAAAATAAATAATTTTATTTAAGCAAATTGTTATTTACGACTAGAAATATGATATTTTTATCGAAATTTTCTAAAAATTAATATTATTTCTTTTATATTATGATTCTATAATTTATATCATCTGTCACATTTATACGTCTTTAATGTTATGTATATGTTTATACGCGCTTTAATGTAAAATATTTTAATATGATATCTCAATTTTACGAACTGCAATATGATAATATATTATCTAAAGATTTATAAGATTAAAAATATTTAAAAAATCACAAAAATAAACAAGATGGCAATGTGAGCTGACATAGGTTATTGGCGTGCACTTTTTTTACAATTTATTAAAAATTAAATAAAACGTATACGTTTCGACCTCAATGGTCAAGGTCCTCCTCAGTACAAAATAATATAAAACTAACAATTAAACACAAAATTGCAATTATGATGTTAGCGCATACAACTATACTTAATTAAATTAAGATGTTAATGTCTAAATTCAAGTCAAACTTGTTCATCAAATTGTTAAATTTACTAAAAATGTTTAAAAAATAAAAGTTAAAAATTATTTTTGATTTTTAAGCGTAAATTATTTTCCACAATAAATATATATATAATAATAAAAATAGCTTACATGATTGTCAAGCTTGGACGAATTTTTTGTATAGTTGTAGTACAGGTTCCATTAGACTGCTCAGTTTACTGTGTAAGTACAATTTTTTAAAAATTAATGTGAAGATTCATAATTAAAGATTGGTATCACAAAATTTAAGTCATTTACTACATGAAATTTAAATGAAAATTATTAGACACGACATAACTGTTTGGCAGACAGATGTAAAGTGAGATTGAAAAAAGCATTGAGCAACGGAACATGTACCCAATGATAATATGTATCAATAGTAAATATAATATATAAAAGAAGATATATAATAAAGGATAGTAGCATTACGTCCTAGAAAATAAATCTGTATACAATAAAGGATCCAGAAAGAGTATGTCATTTAATAAATTCAAGCTTAATTTTTGCTTTTTAATATGTATCATCCCTGATATCAGTCTTTTATTTAAAATTTGTTCTTTGTCCAAAATATGTACACTATCCCAATTAAATTCATGAGATAAGTCAATACGATGTTGTGTAATTACAGAATGTTGGGTCGTGTCTCTGTTAATATGAATATACTAATCGTCCAAGCTTGACAATCATGTAAGCTAATTTTATTATTATATATTTATTGTGGAAAATAATTTAACGCTTAAAAATAATTTTTGACTTTTATTTTTCAAATATTTTTAGTAAATTTAACAATTTTATGAACAAGTTTGACTTGAATTTGGACATTACTATCTTAATTTAATTAAGTATAGTTGTATGCGCTACCATCATAATTGTAATTTTGTGTTTAATTGTTAGTTTTATATTATTTTCTACTGTCGAGAACCTTGACCATAGGTTGAAACGTGTACGTTTTATTTATTTTTAATAAATTGTAAGAAAAGTGCACACCAATAACCTGTGTCGGCTCACATTGGCATTTCGTTAATTTTTGTGATTTATTCAACTGAGCCTTTTGATTATCTTATATTTATTAAAAATATTGTTGGACTTAATTTTGTACGAACTATACACGTTAAAGCAATATATAAAATTATTTTAATTTGCTTTCTAAATATTGATGACAGTTATTACAACAGCCTCGTTATACATTCGTAAGTAAGTGCAATATTTCTCATATAAGACTATGTCAATACCGGAGGTACTACACACCCTGCTATTACAAGCTCGTTAACGAAAAGGATGCATCGTTTAATTATCGAGAATATTTTTTCTTACATATGATGGTCTTTTTTCCAATCGTCTCTGCCATCAACGCATAAATTAAAGTTTAAACGCGCAGCTTTGCGGAAAATCGTAGGAAAATTATGGGTTATCTATCAACCTGTAAATTTATTTGCACACGTTATACCAATACATGAAAATCACGAACGTAGCCGGTTGTTGCGATAATTGTGATGCCACTTTCAGCGAACCAAGTAATACACATTAATGCACAGCGCGGTTAACGTTAACAGCTTGTACGATCGGTTATTACTTATATAGCTCATCGATCAACTGTTTTGCAAGTCAAATTGCGCGCGCGCTCTTGAAAAAAACTCCAACATGATTATAATCTATAAAAAAATACTACGTCATATCGACACGATCGAAATTTTATATTACTTTTTCTAATGATAAAATTAAACTTAGAACTTGACAAATTATGCTCTTAATAACAAAGAAGGATATTATTCGAAATTTATAATAAACGTAAATATTTTTGCTTAGAAGTAGACGATTTGAATGACATTTTACAATAATATTATAATAATTCATAATAGTAAAGATTGTCTGATAGTACCTTTGTGACTGTAGGACAAGTGTGACATGAAATATGTAAAGGAAAATCACGTTCCATTTATGGCTCATTGCGCTTTATATACACTTTATATTACATAATAAGAGAAAATAATATCATTAGTATGCTGTTAACGTCGTTCTCGACATGAGAGAAAAGAGCCAAGGACTTATTCGATAAATAATACAAAGTAAATATTGAATTTATGACTAAAAATTTGAAGAAATTTTGGAAATAATTTATCTATTCAAAACTTATATAATATTTTGTATATAACATATATTTATTTCGTTAATATATTTATCGATAAAAAATAATTTTATTATACAATCAGTTTCAAGACCAGTTCTTTATGTACTATTTATTAGATATATTTGGATGTAAATATTGCTAAACTTGACAGTAAATATATTACGTACTTAATGTTATAAACGTTTTTTTGTTTTTATTTTATAATTTGACTTTAATCGTCCTTCATCTATATTTAATTGTTTTTACATAAAGAGTCCTTTATTTTCTAATTTATTTGTAGTAAATATATTAAATTTCAGCAAATTTAAAAGTCATATTTATTACACTATAAACATTTTTCAAAGTTTTCAATTTCAGTATACAAGCTTTTTATCGTTATTTTCTTATTGTTTTAATAAACATTTTTAATTTTATTTTAAGGCATTGTCAATGTAAATACTTATAAATCTTTTAAGTTTATGAAATTTTTTACAAATTTCAGAAATTTATAAAAAAATGTATACCTATACTATACAAAAAATATACAAAGAGTGATGGCAAGTTCCGCCTATTTTTTTACCTCAAATTTCAAACTTTTTTTATGACAAATAGTACTATTAGATGAAACCTTAATCCTAGTAAAATTTCAAGATGAGCATAGGCACGGTTCCAGAGATATGAAAAGGGATGAAAATGATGGTTTCTCATAACCTATGAAAGTACATATACAAAACTCTTCAAATGTCCATACCAAGGAATAAAATACATATTTAACGAAGAGAAACATATCGTTTCTTATGGATTTTTTTACATCGGATTTAAATATGATCTTAGCTTTCGTCTAGCATGAAAATTCCCTGAGATAGATGGAGTTGAAGTAACACCTGACGCCATCTCTTACAGATTGGGGTGTTTTTTTAATGTGAGTCCCCTTGCCTAGGCAGGGGTTGTTTTGTGAATCGTGATAGATACATTACATATTTCAGGATTGGGTATTTTTATCCTATGGTATTGAGCGAAAAAAACAGATCTTTTTGCCATCACTCTTTCATAAACTTATATTATGTTTAATTACTTTAATACTTATGTAAAAGAATGGCCATTTAAATATATCTGCAGATTTTTACTTATTTTTACATATCAGTTAATTTAGATATTAATAAAAATTATTGTGAAAAATTAGAAAGTTTAAATACATAGTTAGTTTAGAAGAATATAATTATAAAAAAATTGTAATTTTTAACATTACATTACAATTATAATAAGGAATAAATGTGCTTAATGCTTTGTAATTGTATAATTATTTTATTATATTCGTATATGTCTTATATAAAAAGTTAAAAAGTGCCAGAAAAATTTCACGTATTCAAACAATTCGGTTTATTATGAAAAGAACGTGTAAAATATTTTCCGTATGCTGCAACAAAAATATAATATCATTATACTATAATAGCGTAGCATCTATATCTTACTCATGTGTGTGTGTGTGTGTGTGTTTCTTTCATTATCATAACGCTTCGTTATTGTTCTTTGATAATAAACATAGGTACATAAGACATTGCGTACGCTACTGTTTATCAAACCGTTTTTATTATTATTCGTTAAGAGAGTACTTCTTTTAAGTTCTTTTTTTTTAACATTTGTGAAAATACGAGAAGTTATGTGCTTGTAAAATTTTGTATTCTATAAATATTCCGTTAACATATCACCAACTATATACATATAATCAATTTTATTTTCCACTTTACCTTGATCCATGTGCAAAATATGCACAATATCTCTACTATAATGTAAAATTATTATAAACAGTGACAAAATAATCATTAAACAAAATTTATATCGCGGCTCATATTCT